TACGTAATCACATTTTAAACCTCACGGCCTCGCAGTTTTGTCAAGTGCCTGATAAGATTTGCACTCGTGGAGCTCCGGGTAAAAGAGGAAAAATTGGGAGAAGAGGGGCTCGAGGAAGAAGAGGTCGATCAGGTACTAAAGGAATAAAAGGCCTTCCTGGAAAATATGGTAAACAAGGACTGCGAGGACCTCCTGGACTAAAAGGACAAAAGGGCGATATGGGCAATCCAGGACCGCCTGGACTACCGGGACCGAAAGGGGAACGAGGGGAACAGGTTTCTGAGCCTTCGGTACTTATTTCACCATCAACACTGACAGTTACTCAGAACCAGACAGCTACGTTCCATTGCAATGCTTACGGTAATCCTAAACCAAAGATAACATGGAAAAAGGAATCTGGAAAACAAATTGATTTTGCTAAAACCAGAATAGATGAATCAGGATTGCTTGAAATCTCGAATGTGAATGAGAACGATGCAGGAAACTACACGTGTTCTGCAAAGAGTGTTCTCGGAGAGGATGCAAACACAGTATCACTTCTTGTCAGATGTGAGTAAAACAAATCTCAGTCTTGCTGATCATCGCATTCCCAAGAATATTGATTTGAAGTGTGCTCCCCCAGCCAACTAAAGGTCAAACATGTTTTCTTCTTCTAGTAAAAGATTTTTTCATCCAAACAATGCATCTTTTAATATTTTTGACATTTCTTCAATTTTTCATTCTTAAAATTACTTACAAATCTATTTCTTCTATCAATTACTTTGACAAAAGACTCATGAAAAGAAACAATAAAAGGAAAATAAGTGTAAAGATCAAACATAACCACTTAGTTAAGTATAATGTCTTACAATTTTTTTTCCGAATACAACTTTTTATTGTTCAGAGTTGCTATTTTCGCGATTTGCTATATTGAGAGCTTGTTGGTTAGTGTTGATTGAATCTTACTTAATTCCAGACACTTGTTGACTCATGTTTAAGTATATTCTCAATTGCATGCTTGTGTTTGCCAGTTCCACCGAGGTTCACCAAGATACCAGAGTCATTCCGAACCGCTTTTCAAGGAAGCACTGTGAATCTGGAATGCAGTGCATCGGGTAATCCACCACCCAAAGTCACGTGGTCAAAACTTCTTGGTTCTCTCCCAGCGAAACGAAGTCAACAAAATGGCGGGAAACTTACAATAAGAAAATTCCAGTTAAGTGACAGTGTGTCTTATCAATGTATGGCTGTGAATTCCTTGGGTAAAAATACACTTTACACGACATTGAACTTCCGTAAGTCAATCATGTCTTCATTGAATAATATCAAACTACTAATAGTATACATGCACAGTTATGTTAGAAATTCTGGCCACTATCTTATATAAATATATTAATTTACAGGATTGTTGATGTTTCAAATTTAAGTTTTTTTAAATTGTCGTAAAACTCAGAATATAATTCTTGAATCACCGCCTTCAGTTAATAAAACGCCATAATTTCAAAGTATAGACTTCTGAACCTTTTACGTCACTACATGATTTTCAATGCATTGTGGGATCAGTTTCAAGAGAAAACAAAAGAAATCCGCCATGTATGGCCCAAACATGTCCTACAATGCATTGCTTATGCGGTACATGACGTAAAAGCTGCAGAGGTCTATTCGAATTATTTGCGATCCGTCTTATAGAGAGAAAAGTTCGAAAATCACTGAACATTACCCATGATGCAAATTATCATCATATGTGTTAGTGGTCAGAATGTTTTCAAGTGAATGCATTTTGGTTTATAGAAATTCAACAATTTCTATAACAAAACAGAGGTATATATGACATAGAATAAGTTTTCCCGTCACGTCAGGAAGTTATGACGTGTGGTATTCCGCGTCTGCCGTAACTTGATGAGTTCCTTTGTGACATTATAGAACTGTTTAAGACTACTTTAGCTCATTTTGAATAATTAATTTAACGCAGGTAGATGCAATAGTGTTGCACTTGGTATGCAAAGCAAAGTCATCCCTGATTCAAGAATAACCACTTCGTCACGTTATAATTCAAGATATCTTCCATTTTATGCTAGACTGAATGTAGACCTTGGCAATGGTGGATGGGCAGCTGGCTCAAATACAATAGGACAGTGGATACAAGTTGACTTGAGCAAAGTAACCACAATTACAGCCATTGCGACACAAGGCGGTCGTGATTCCCACTGGGTTAAAACGTACAGTTTGCAGTACAGCGACGATGGAACTAACTTCAAAGACTATGAAGGGGGAAAGACTTTACCTGGAAATTTGGATCAATCAACGGTTGTAAAAAATAGCCTTGACCCTGACATAACTGCCAGGTATATCAGACTTCTTCCAAAGACATATTATAGTCACATGGTACTAAGAATGGAACTTTATGGTTGCGAATTATAAAACCTGCGGTTGTGTCTTGAGCTTTCCATCCCCCCCCCCCCCCCCCACGGGGAAATGATATTTGTACGCAAAAGTAACACTTATAGTTATCAAAGAAATTCCACTAATCGTATGTCGTATGAAGATAATGATCTTCCATTCAAAATTAAGACCAATTAAGACGGCATCCATCCGTTGGTTTATCAGTGTAAATAACTACACTTGGTATAGCTAAATGATCGTTTTCAATCATTCCGATGACATTAAAAAGATAAAAGAGCGTCCATGTTAGAAGAATGAACAACAGATAGAAATGAAAAATTCTTTGTTGAAGTTCCTCCAAGATGGCGTCTGTGGCGCAAAAGGAAAACGAGAAATCTAGTGGTTCGTTTTGATATTTTCAAGATAAATATGAATCTTTACGGATGTTAGCTAACGTTCACAAAGTACATTGTCTTGCAGTATTTTTTTCTTCCCGCGTGCCCAAACTAACGTCCGCAAAGAATATTTGCTTTCAATGCATTATTCTTCGGGCGTTTTCCATACTCGCACTTGGCATGTCTGTCACGCAATATAAAAAGTCACAATACCAACCCAATAAAGAATTGTATTGTTTGAAATAGCTCTCTTGAATCAAAAAACGTTGTTATCATTAAGATCACCTCAAGGAAATGGAATCAGGAGTAGAAATAATGTTTTTCAATGTCTGTACTCATCAGGCTAAAAATATTTTATTATTATCATTTAATATATCCTTTATAGTACCACGCATTTTATTTCTTATTCCAGCTTGTAAATTAGTCTAACGTTTACAGAAAATTACAATAACTTTATCAATGGAAATTGAATCATTTGGATTGAAATAGAAAGATGAAAAAAAAAAAAAACCCTAATACCATGATCACCTCGGATTCTTTTGTCTTCCGAGGGATGTTTACAAGCGAACATCCCTCCCTCATGAATGGCATGAGGGACGATTACTAGTAATCGTCCCTCATGCATAATAACATGAGGGACGATTAGACTAATCGTCCCTCATGTTATTCATGAGGAACGGAAGGCAAAGGAAACCTTTGCTTCCCAGCAGGGACAACTGAATGTCCCTACAGCTGTCTTCTTTTTACCTCTGCAATGAACGGTCTGGTTATCGTCTCATTCACACTGAAATGTGGGATGATTTTTGGGACAAATTGACCGAGTAGCTCTGGTTCCGAGTATCTACTTCGTACCGCTGAGCATGTGCACTTGACGAATTTCAATGTTTGATAATAGTTGATAAGCTTCTTGGCATTATACTTGCAAATATAAAAACAACTTTTCGCGGTTGAAGTTAAGGTTCGTTAACTTCAGCATTGAATAGAACTGAAAAGCAATTTCAAACAAAGTTCGTTGTGGGAAATCAGTAACAATGGTCGGATTATCAATATCATTTTGTACTGTTGTTCGGCGAGTGATACTCTTAGAACAGTGCGTATCCTTTCTTTTCATGTCATATTCCAATTCATGCATGAATTGAAAACATTGGAGCATACAAAAAAACAAGAATTCAAATTCGCTCAAGTTCAACTTCAATTTTTTCCTCGGAAATCATGGTATTACAAAGTAATAGCATGGCTTCCTCGGGAGATTAGGGATTAAATGTCCCTCAGCCTCGGGCAGATAAGTAAAAGTCCCTCCGGCCTGCGGCCGTCGGGACTTCAACTTATCTGCCCTCGGCTTCGGGGACATTTAATCCCTAATCTCCCTCAGAGCCATGCTATTACTTATAATAATAGCATGTTTTGTACGTGGAATTTGGGATAAATACC